CCCGCCGTGCCAGGGGCTCTGCCCTGCGTGGGACAGGGGACCAGGAGCTGCTGGTGGCCCTGGCACGGGGCTGGGTGCTGGGGACCCCCGGGTGACACGGGGCACTGTCCTCCCTTAGAGCCACTGGTGTGGCACAGGGCCCGGTGGGCACCGAGGGCAGGCTGGGGGACACTGTCCCCTCTGCCACCATCACCACTGTCACTGTCACTGGGCACTGAGGACAGGCTGGGGGACACCGTCCCCTCTGCCACCATCACCGCTGGCACTGTCACTGGGCACCGAGGGCAGGCTGGGGGACACTGTCCCCTCTGCCACCATCACCACTGGCACTGGGCACCGAGGACAGGCTGGGGGACACCGTCCCCTCTGCCACCATCACCACTGTCACTGTCACTGGGCACTGAGGACAGGCTGGGGGACACTGTCCCCTCTGCCACCATCAGTGCTGGCACTGTCACTGGGCACCGAGGACAGGCTGGGGGACACTGTCCCCTCTGCCACCATCACCACTGGCACTGTCACTGGGCACCGAGGACAGGCTGGGGGACACAGTGTCACTGTGGCTGTGTCACAGCCCTCACAGTGTCCCTGGGGGTCACAGTGTCACTCTGGCTGTGTCACAGCCCCTTCCCAGTGTCCCTGGGGGTCACAGTGTCCCTGGGGGTCACAGTGCCACTGGGGGTCACAGTGTCCCCGGGGGTCACAGTGTCCCTGGGGGTCACAGTGTCACTGTGGCAGTGTCACAGCCCTCACAGTGTCCCTGGGGGTCACAGTATCACTGGGGGTCACAGTGTCACTGGGGGTCACAGTGTCCCTGGGGGTCACAGTGTCACTCTGGCTGTGTCACAGCCCTCACAGTGTCCCTGGGGGTCACAGTGTCCCTGGGGGTCACAGTGTCACTCTGGCTGTGTCACAGCCCTCACAGTGTCCCTGGGGGTCACAGTGTCCCCGGGGGTCACAGTGTCACTGTGGCAGTGTCACAGCCCTCACAGTGTCCCCGGGGGTCACAGTGCCACTGTGGCCATGCCACAGACCCTTCCCAGTGTCCCCAGGAGTGGACAGTGGCCCGGTGGCTCCATTATGGTGACCGTGCCACTGTCCCTCCTGCTATCCCTGCGTTGGGGACTGGCTGGTGTCCGTGCCAGGATCCCTCCTGGTGTCCCTGGCATGGGGGAGTGGCTGCTGGCCACAGTGGCCATGGTGGCCACAGTGCAGTGGCTGTGCTGGAGTCCCTCCTCATGTCCCTGCGGCTTGGAGGCTGGCCAGTGTCCTGAGTGTGGTGGCCAGTGGCTGTGGTGGCTACAGTGTGGTGGCCTCCTGGTCACCCTAGGGCTGGCTGGTGGCCACAGTGTGGTGGCCATGGCACAGTCCCTCCTGGTGTCCCCAGGGCTGGCTGGTGGCCACAGTGTGGTGGCCATGACACAGTCCCTCCCGGTGTCCCCAGGGCTGCCCGGTGGCCAGGGTGTGGTGGCCATGCCACAGTCCCTCCCGGTGTCCCCAGGGCTGGCCAGTGGCCACAGTGTGGTGGCCATGGCACAGTCCCTCCCGGTGTCCCCAGGGCTGGCCGGTGCCCAGGGTGTGGTGGCTGTGGTTAAGGTGTGGTGGCAGTGTCAGGCTCCTTCTCAGTGTCCCCAGGGCTCTGGGAGTGGCTGTGGTGTGGTGACCAGTGGCTGCAGTGGCTGGTGGCCATGCTGGTGTCCCCAGGGCTGGCCGGTGGCCGCGGTGGCCGCGGTGGCCGCAGTGCAGTGGCCATTCCTGGCTGATTTGGGGCCGCTGTGGCCACCCGGAGCTGAGGCTGAGGCTGAGGCCTGGCACCACCGGCTGGC